TGTTAATGAGTGTTGCTGATCACTTACACAGCGTATGTTTACAAGAAATTCTTTTACTTTATTTAGAAGCTGATAACAGTAATCGCATCTATGATTGAAAAATCCTTATGACGTGATATTAGCAGTTCAGGATGACTAGAAAGATGAAACGAAAAATGATGTTTCTTGAAATTTGGGACATAATTGGTGGCGTACAAGTGTGTATATAATTCAATTCGCAAAATTTAGAAAATGGTGTTACTAATTTCTAAAGTGAAAATTAGACAGATTAGAATGTTAGACAGAAGCATTATGTTTTTGTGCGTCTTTGCCACATGACATTTATTGACAGCTTACCAGCCGATTGGTTTCCTGCTTTGTTATTTTTACATTTATTTGACAAAATCTCAACTTTTACGTTGTCAATAATACTACATATGATCCCTGCTGTGACTTTCATAGTCACATACACCTACTTTGGTAAAATATAATCAATCTATAACTTAAAGGAAACACTATATCACCGGAGCTTGGCATGAGCTGTTTACTACAGTGAGACTTGCAAGGAAGTAATCAATATGGTTTAGAAGCCTATATATACTCTACTTGGGACTTTAAGCTATGTGTTTACATTAAAGGGCAGTGTTTGTCACATCAGTCATGTTCAATGTGGGTCTCACAGTGACATATATTTCGTGTTTACATGTGCGATCACCACCCTTTTTAGCAACATGCTTTCAAATCACTCTGAGGCGTAGGATAAGGGTTTAACATTAGCCTAATCCCCGTAATTCCTAAATGATTTACAGATCAGTTCACAGTGAAAAGCTTCTTGAAACTAACATAATTTGCTGCAGACATGCCTGAATATAATTTGCTATCACCAATAGATGATCAATCAATCAATAGATCCATGTAATGAATTATTCAAATCTCCTTATAGTTCTTGTTTGTATTTATATATTCTCAAATTTTGAACATAGAAGGAAATAGACATGACATGTGTCTTGATGTAGAAATAAGCAAAACTAAAATCAGCAATAATTTATTTAGCCAGTGATATTTCTTTATTTCTTGATCAAAGAAACCATAAAGTACATTAAAAATGAAATACATTATAAATTACATATGCCATATTCTTACATATTGTAAATTGTCTTACCCTTACTATTCACAGATAGTTTAATGATCGCTCAACTATGTAAAAACTTTATTAACTTGTTAACCAAAAAGAATTGTCACATCATCTTTATGGTATTAATAAAGACTTCTATTTATTATATAGTTTATATGAGGTTTTCCCAGCAAGAGCTCCTCTGGTTAACAGTACAGCCTTGGATACAATCCTGGATGACTTCACGGTTGATGCTGGGTCTGGTCGCACTGCTGGGATGCAAGCTGGATTCCAATTGGTTGCCTTGGTGATAACATTAGCCATCGCTATCATATCTGGAATGCTGACAGGTAAGCAAATTCGAGGGCGCTACTTGGGACTACACTATTGACATTGGCACGCTTTGACACTTAACTCTTTATAGCTCTATATTACAAAATGATAGAGCCACCACAGTTGTTATGACTAAATATTGACATTCAAACTCTTCTATTGAGCTACACAACAAAAAAGTAACCCAGTAATCCTGAAAACAAACAAAGCTCAACATATTAGTGATTGTCCATCATCTGTGGACGTTCACGTAAACTTTTTACTTTTTCCACTTCTTCTGATT